ACTCCCGAGATCAAAATCTGAAAATTCCCTGTCCTCGGAAAATACAAACTCCCGAGGGCTGTTGCCCTCAGGCTCCCTCTCATGTAGCAGGTTCCAAGGAGAACTCGAGCGGTCTTGACCGAGGTCCTGGTCTTCGTCACTAATCTCAACGGATTGACCAGGCAAATCGCCAAACGCAACCCCGAAGTCCCGAAGTCCCCTAACACCCCCGGACACCGACTCGGGACCGGCCGAAGGCAATCCTGGCGGCAGGGACAATGGAGGCTCAGGCGGGAAGGGTGCCGGCTCAGTCGGAGCGGCGACCTGCGGCAGAAGCTGCCCTGTAACAGGGCACGTGGCTGGCGCCGACTGAGGCGCAGGAGTTGTCCCGTCCATCTAGCGCCCCCAAGAGGGGGCACTGTGCACGCAGCTAAAGCCCTGAGATTAGCACCTGGAGGCTGTTAGCTTGCACAATACGGGACTGTAGAGGCCTCGAAAGAAAAATTTCTTGCCTCTCTCTTTGAGCAGACTCGCGGGAAAGCCAAAGGTATCCGATCTGCTTATTCAAAGACAATGAAAGTTCTCATGCAAGAAATGTTCTTCAAAACTCACATGCAAAACACGGCAGCTCTGCTGCCTGTCAGGTTTTTAAAAGAAAGAAAAGTCTGCAAGCAGAAAATGTTCTTCGGCAAGGGCCCTGACCTCCACCGACGGGAAATCGTCGAAGTAGCTCGCCGCAGCGAGCTTCAGCTCCCAGAGAATCCTTTGCCACAGCCTCGAAAACCTGTTGAACTGACCGACCGAGGCCAGGGCCCCGAACGGCAACACGCGGCAGACGAACCCCTTTGTTGAGCCGTCCGCCGGATCCTTCAAGGTCACCACGCACATCCGATGGTGTTCCGGCCGTATAGCGAACTGTTTATAAGCTGAGCGCAGATCCGTAGTCTTCAAGACCGGCGAGCAGCGGCGAGCGTCCTGGTGCCAATACGAATGCAAAGGCCCCGACAAGACGGAGCCGTCGGACTTCCGGAAGAAAACCTCGCGTCGCCCCAAGCTGGCCCTCATCAAAGCCATACATGCCCAAGTGATTTCATCAAGCGCACGCAAACCGATCCTCTCCATTACTGCCCAAGCTTGATTGACGGCATTCTCGGACAGGTCGTCGATGGGCCGCAATTTGTTCTTTTGTCTGATGGAGAATCTGCGCACAGGTATCCACTTGGAGTCAAACATGTTCTGCAGTTGCTCCCACGTGTAGGGTCCATGCAACCAACCTTTCTCGTCAGCTTCAGCACAAGTGAGATCCCAGAGCTCCTGATCATCCGGGTGGCTCGCATCGCCCGACACCTTGCCCCACAGGGCTGGCTTCAAGAACTTAGCGTGCTCAAGCAACTCGTCAACGGACATCGAAGAGGGTTTCGGGTCCACCTCAAAGATGCCTGTAAGCTTGGCCTCACCCCGAGCTCAAAGCCATTCTCGATGTCGTCGATTATCGTGGCATCAGGCCACTGTAAATCCTCGGCCACACGCCGCAGGAGGGTCAAGTTTTTGCGTGCAACTATCTTCTCGACATCTGGGTGAAGCCTCGCGTGCAAGGACGCCTCGGCTCCACGAAGTTCTTGAGACCACTTTTTCCATTTCGTCAAGGTGTCCAAGCGATGCCTCATGACTGCCAAGGGCCCTTTCGTGAGGGTGAACGCAAGAATCTCGAGCATCTCGTCCGGCACTGCAGAAGACAGGTCGAAAGGATGAGATAGAGCAATTGCTGTCCTGACGAACTCATCCTCGGTCCTGTAAACCCCAAAAGTAACCCTAAAGCCCGAATCTGAAGGACCCTCGCCCCTTTGCACAGGCACCACCTGAAGGATGCGGGCACCGACAGGCACCGACTGAAAAGCGGCCGTCAAGGAGTTTTTCGCATCATAACGTAGAGCGTCCATGGACGGAATCTGCAAAGTAACCCTATGCTTGTATTCGGGCATGAGCGGCGGCACCTTGGAAACCTTGGGCTGTCGCTGCACTGCAATGGAGGACCGATGATTGGCAGATGGCTTGACTGCATCAGGGGACACAGCAAACCCTAGTGAACCCGCGAAAACAACTACCTGGGCGGCGAGCCGACTGCACAACAAACGCGGCCGGGCCCGCAGTGAAGTCACTGACTGGAAGGCTCTAGAAGGTTCCTGATTGTCGTCGGCCGACACAGCGAGAGCGCTTAAAGGCTGGACGTTAGTATGCAACAGCATCTGGCGGTGCTGCTCGCCACCATGGGCACATAGGTCGAACTTCACAGCTTGCGAGGCAGGCAGAGCCAAAGTCGACCACAGTCGGCTGTTCAGCGGATTCAAGACGCACCACCCGATATCAAGAGTGGCGAGGAAAGCCAAGAAAGAGCTGAGTTCGGACGACACCTGGGCAAAACCTGCTGGAAGTTCGCCCGCAGAAGCGGCCACAGTGGGGGGCAGCAAGCACAAAGACGACCCTCCTAGCGAGTACAACCTTAACTAGAAAATCCCATGAGGCAGTCTTCCTGAGATCCAACGACACAACGCTGATCAGAGCTCTCTGCTTTAGGTGCGGTTGTTCGACCGCGAGCACATCGAATCCGGCGGCCCTCAAGGAGGCTCCAAACTCACCTGCATTGCAAAAGAGGTCAAGGCACAGCAAAGAAGCGACTTGCAGTTGCGCCGGGAGGGCATCACATGCCTCATCCACTTGAGAACTTCGGAGGTCATGAAAGGTTCCCCCGACTTCGATCAAATCCGGACTAAAGTTGGGCGCCGTTTTGGGAACAGGGAAGCTCAGCTCAGCTAACCGCGCCCTACAGTCAACATCAAGCTCCTGGACCCTAGCAACGCAAAACCCAACTATGACCACGCGTCGACCGCTCCACGGCCGTGTAGCGTGCACATGGCTGCAAGCATAGAAGGCCTTCGGTCCGGAGGCAACATCGATCAAGATGCCACGCTTCGTAACACCATCGACCTCAAGAGGAAAATCGCCCTGAGCCGACTCGACCCAGACCTCGCCTTTCGGAAAATTGCTGAGTGGCACAAGAATGTTCGGGAAAGGAGAGTTGAAGCGGTCGACATGAGGCTCCGTCTTAAGGTCTGAAAACACACTCAGAGTAGAAAATTGCATCCCTGGGGCAGCGCGTTGCACTGCCTGAGCGAAAACCCTCGAAGCCGCCGGATGCTTGTTGCAGTTGCTCCTGAGACCGAGCAGTGGCCCCTTCACATAGGCACCAGTCGAGAAGGCCACGGCTCCATCGTTACGAGTATTGCTCAAAAGCGGCTCCTGAGGCAGCATGTCAAACAAACGAATTAACTCCTGGGCCGTGGGATCCCTGCCCAAAGACAGAAGCTCCTCAGCATAAGAGTCCGCATGCACTTTCGGATCAAGCTTCGATCCTTGCCCTTCAAACGGCACTGCTTGGGCCCCTTCGGGCGCACTCAAAAGAGGCTCATCCCCTTCGGGATGGGCCGTAATCACTTGCTGGATTGCTCGAGAATGGCCTTCGCCACCCCCAGACCCTGCCGCCGACCCTTTTGCACCCGGGGCCGGGGTTGAACTTGATAGTCAAGCGCCCGCCTGCTCGCCATCTTTCGGCTTCTTGGGACACTTGACAGCGGCGTGATTCATGCCGCACTTGGGGACTGCACAGATGTGCAATCCCTTCTCACATTTATTGCCGGTCACCTTGTTCGGGCATGACCCCAAGTTAAAGGCATAGCAGATCGGGTGCCCTTTCGCGGTGTGCGAATTGCACCCACGAAGCTCGCTTGGCATGGCAACGAAGCGCTTCTTCCCTTTGCCATCTTTGCCCTTGCCCTTACCTTTGTACGGCGACTCTCGCAGACGAGCAGGCTCACTGGGACCGTACGAAGACGAGGGGCCGCCCTGGAGCGGCTGCATCAGCGAAACCACCTCATGCATGCAGCTGACAGAATCTATGATCCCATCGATCGGACGGCCTTTGGCATCCGACTGAATGCCTGTGCGCGTATGGTCCTGAAGCTCCAAAAAGAGCCTCGAGTCTGCATTTTGCAACTGAGCGAAGGTTACCTGCTGGTAACCCGGCGGGGGCGTAGTCAGCCTCGCCTTCATCAACTTTTGATGCCACATGTCAAGCTTCGTGAAAGAAACAATGTTAGCCTGATCGAATGCGAGAGCACGCCTCTGCAGAGCCTGCAGAAGCATCACTTCAGTGGACGTGTCAGCCACCTGATCCTTGGCCTTGTTCTCTACCTTGAGCTTACCACTCTCGCCGTCTATCGAAAGCTTCAGGTCCTTCTTACCGTCGCCCAGGAGCTCCTGTTCCCGCGACGTGCACTTAGACCAAGGGACATACTGGATCACATTGGCCTCATACTGACCGACGCAAAGGTCGACCAGGGCCTCTGATGGCTCCGAGGAACCCTTTATCGTGATGCCAGTCAACTGTGAACGCTGTCGCTCAATTCTCTCAGCCCTCTCGGGCTGACTCAAGTGACGAACTGTCGGCTCCTCGACCCTTTCAACCTGCTGTCGCATCTCCGAAGTGACAATGGCATATGCCTCATGGAAAACTGCTCTGAAAGCTGCCTTATGATTCATCTCTGGGTCCTTTCCAAGCATCGTCTTAAGGGCCTCGATCAACGGACCTTCGTCCGCAGCCCCCGGAGCAAAGGAGCTCACGAAGGCCAACTGCTTCAAGCTCTTAACGTGCTTCAGGATGAGATCGCGCTCAGCCTGCTCGAAACCCGCCTTCGAGAGACGGGACACCAGAACTGGCTCGGACTCCGAGTATGCGGAAGCCATGGCTCGCTCCTTCAGAACTGGCCTACCTTCAAGTAGCTCGAGCGACTCTCACTGGAAATCACAAGGCGGCATTTGCGACTCCGAACTGTTGAGACCACGCAAGCCAAGTGCAGCGCTCCTTGTATTCCGTGCGCATATTCATCCCGCCTTCGCGGGCTCTCGCGATGAGAGGCTCACAAAATTCGCATGGCGGCACTCCAGCCAGCCAGCCTATCGATCCCTCACCTCGCCTCAGGAAAGCACTGCCTGCAGATTGGATGCAAAAACCTGGGAGTCGCGTTGCACTCCAAGTAAGACGATGTAATCTGTCTGCCACACTTAAAATTTGTGCCCTCCTCAGAAGCGACCAAGTGTATGAAGCGGGTGGTAACATGCCGAAAGACCGTCTTGCCCTCCAGATTTTCTCGAAGGCAGCCGCTCGGCTCAAATTCGCCGACACTGTCCTCAACGACCTTCTCCTCCTCGAGAATATCTGGCTCCTCCTCATCATCGCTCCTGTCGGAAGAAGAATCTGAGCCGACCTCGGCGTTGTCATGAGCTTCTCCCCTGGCAGCCAAAGACTCCGCAAACATGCCCGAGCGCGTGGCGTCAGGGAAGAACCGCCTGTAAGCGACCGCAGAGACCATTTCCTCCAACTCACGCAACGCAGGGGAGACGCTGTCCCTCGCGTAGATAACATCCGTGCCGGCGTTGGCACTGGAGTGATATCCGAGTATCGACCGGATTTCCTTACTAGCTCCCCACTTAGACATCCAAGATAAGAGCGTAGCTTTGCAGGAGTGAGTACCAGCGGCCTTGACCAACGAAACATCCTCGCCTGCACGATAGAGAAGGTGGCGAAGCCACCGCGCTCCGGCTTGCGCAGACATAGGCGCCTTCTGCCATTGGCCCCCCTCGGTGGGGGACGGTAGCAGGGGCATGTCAGGCCCCCATGCAGGCCCAGCCCTGCCGGCTACCTCCATCCAGGCCATCGCCCAAGAATCCTGCTCGAGGCCCCATATAGGGCTGACCATAGCAAGATATCGGGTTTTGCGCTCCAGATTATGACTCGTCTTGCTCCTGGTGACTCTCGCTTCAAGGTAACCGCGCGGTTCGCCAGCTCGCCAGAACACTGCATGTCCGAAAAACGGGCTCTCGCAAAAACACAATATAAAAAGCACCCGGCCGCGTATCGATCGACATCTGCGCGGACTTCAGGCATAAGTCCAAGCACGATTCGCTCCAGAGCCCGCACCTGTGAAGCCGTCAATGGCGGCTTCTGTTGCAGCTTTCTCTTCTCCAAGTAGAGCTTCGAAACCGCGCCAGCCAACCTGCTACTAACACAACCGTCCGGGACCTTCGCCTCCAAGACATATTGCATGAAGCCAACGGAACTCATAAAGCTGGATGCAAAGGTAGGAGCAGCCCCACTGCAATACTCTTGGACAAAGCGATACATCTTCTGCTCAGACAAAGGAAAAGGCTGTTCTCTGATGCGCCAGCAGAATGCCATGTATCTTAGGACCGGGCCCGCCCTGCTGTGAAGCGTACTGCTCGCCTTAAGCGAGAAAACATCTCCTAGAGACTCCTGCAGGGAGGCCGGCAATCCAGCTTCAGCATCCTTCGCCACTCTGGCACAGACCCCGAAGAAGTCGCCGCCCTCTTTCGCAATCCGAAGCCACTTCATGACAGCCGCATGCCTGTTATCCGACTGTCGCTGAACCCAAGAAGGCCCAACCTTCCGCGGCAGCTTGCCAGTGGCAGTCAGATTTATTGCCGGCGGGCCACTCGGAGCTTTCACAGGAGCAGTGTATGAGCAAGCACATTCCCAAGACGCCCCTTTCCCAGAAATGCACTCGGCAAAACACTCGGCACATGCTTCTCTCCCACGGTTGCTTTGAGCTGCTCGTAGAATTCTGGTGCACGACATGGGCAAGTGCCCCTCGAATGCAGCATCAAACGTCCTCTTCTCTGCCATCGCACGAGAAGCTGCCCATGCGCCACTAATGCGGTACCAGGGGTTCTCGGGCCCGAAACCTGTTTCACACAGCTTGGCCCGAGCCCGTGTTCTGCACAAATCTCTCTTACCCCCCCGTACAAACTTGGCTGCACGGAAGGTTCCCGCCCACCCACCCTATGTTTGAGCATGCGCGGAACAACAAAGATTCATAAAATTTCAAATGGAATCTCATGACACAATGAAGCGGTTTCGAAAAAATTCTTCAAAACTTTCGAAACCTACCAAAAACGTTATAAAGCCTTATGGGACTAGTTTGTGATTTTTAGCGTCCCAAAAACGGCTTATTGTTCATCAGACTCAGTCCAACAAAATAGTCAGCAAAAGCCGCACAAGGTTGAACAGGAGCAGCTCGGCGAGTCCGAATGGTCCACCAACCAACGGATCGGATGTTGGTGCGGGTGCACTGGCATACCAAGAGTGAACGCACACGGAGTCCTTTGGAGAATCTGTTGAAATACATTCGATCTTGACACTCTTTATCTTCTCGATGACTGCAGCTGCAGTGCTCGGTCCCAAGAAATCCAAAAACAACAAAGACACACCAAAACAGCGGTGAAACAGAAGCTTTCCAAGCAGAGAAGCTGACGGACTAGCTGCGGTGTGCGACTTGGTCAGCAGCAGTTCAGCGTGGAAAAAAAGCTTCGCTCTCAGTAAGGTCCTAAAGCAACACTGGACCGTCGTCTAAAGCCCCAAGACAAAGCGAGCGGAGCCCAATGCAAAGCGGCAGCAGTTCTAGTCAAGTCCCGTCGGACCACGGACAATCCTTGGGTCAAGTTTCAGCTGTGCACACTCCAAAAACCCATGGGCATCGGCCCGGTCATCACAAGTTTTGATGTTCGGAGCGCGTCATGCGGTCTGCCACTTGACAGTGCTGCAGATTATCCTTTCTTGTTTGCTGCTTGATGTTGCTGGGCAGAGTTTCACGTTTCTGCTGGGACGACAATCTACGAAATTCCCATTGACGTTTTTTTTATACGCAGCCGGAGTGTGATTTGTTCCGCTGCGGGGGCCATATGAACTTGAACTGGCGTCCGCGTGAAGCGGATCCGCGGCCTGTCAGCCCAGCCAATCTGGCAAAATGATATGCAGCGCAAGCCACACCGAACGTTCCCACCGGTTGATCCAAATCAGACCATCCGGCGCTCTAGGTAACCATGATCTTCGGGTGCATGCTTGTGTCTCCGATGTGCTTTAGCAATCCTCTTGCTGGATTTCCATTGCTCTCTGCATCGAAAGGTGTGGGGAATTCGAGTGTGGTACGGCCGCGTACCCACTGCATCGAACATAGCCGATCGTCCGTCTCGGCTTGCATTCACTGAGGTGCAGAGGCTTTGCAGGTACAGGTCGCGTCCGACCTGGGCCACTCTCCTTTCAAGAAGGGGGTGACTCCAGGGATCGCGGCATCCCCCAGTGCGGAAAACGAAGACCTGTTTTGCCTCTGCTTGATTTTAATATTTATTTATTTTAATATGATATATTCGAATGTTTGGCATTCGATATTCTACCTTTTATGGGAAGTTGTTCGCAATCATTGTCATAATGATTGTACATGCCACGGTCCACAATAGAGAACAAGTACATCCTCCCGGAGGGATGATCACTTTATTCTTTTTTTGGAAATTTTCCTTTGGAAAATTAGTGACATGTCTTTCCCATCACGTTTTTGATTTTGGGACATTGCCCAAACCTTTTCAACATCACTTGTTGCAATAGTTTGCCATTGGACAGTTGTGATCTTTCATACCCCTCTGTAAACGTATATCCTCTGTTTGGGAGGATATGGTGGGCGTCCGGCTCATCTGTAGAAACCTGAACAGTTCTCGGCTAGTTTCCTGGCACTTGGAGTGTTAGGGACTCTTTTCGCTTTAAAGCCGTAGGTCCTGTAGGTTTTCCCTGTTTTCGGACGTTCTGAGGAGCTTTGGTAGTACCAGGGTGCTTTTGGCCCATGGGAAGTTGTTTAGAGAGCTCCGAGCCACCTTTAGGTAGTTTGCACCTCGGTTTGCTGGAAGACTTTGTGCCGACTTGGCTCAAGACCGGAACTGCGTGTGGAGTGCAGCAAAACGAAGGTCTCTGTCCGAGTGTTGTGCTTGGTAAGGGGTTTTGCTGGGGCTTGTTGCAGTTTCGTTCTTTTTCGTGGTAGCGGAGCGTGTTTGATCCTCTGGGACGCACGCTTGACCGCTTTGAGAGAAGTGAGCCCAATACGCAAGTTTTACAACTGAGTTGAGGGTTTTCGTTGCGTCGGTGAAGCATGGAAGGGCGAGGAAGACCGTCGTTTTATGACATGACTAGGGATGATGACACCCCTGGAGTTGTCAGACGTTCGAGTCGTGGCTCTGATATGCCATACCCGGAGAGACGAGCGAGACCTTCTTCGGTTCCTAGAGGAGCGGGGTTTGGACCTGCTTACAGCCCAATATCCCACCTTTCCGCTGTGGCTCCTTTACGGTTCCACCGGGGTTAGTACCGTCACCAGTGCCGAGCGCTCAGGGCGCGGCACCTTCACACATGGAATCGCTGTTGATGCATACGGTGCAAGAGCAGCAGAAGCAGATCAGCCAGATGGTCACGCTAGTTGAGGGTTTGGTGTCGAGGGAAAGCCAGAGGGAGACCAAGGGAAAAGGGACTGGAAGCCTGTCCGACATCTCTGGTTCTTCCATGGATGTTGACGAAGGTGCTCCTATAAGGAACCCCAAGGCTGAAGCTTACATTCCGAAGCTGCCTTCTTTGGATGGGACTAGGATGGCAAAGGGCAGGAGGGCTGAGATTGAAACCTGGGTTGAGACCTGGAAGTTTTCCTTCCATGGCTAGCGTTGTTTGATGACCGTATCCCAGGGGAGATTCAAGCCTATATGACCAAGGACAGCACCATCCAGAACAGCAGTTTGTCGAGGGGTGAGAGCGTGAGGAGCACGAGGGTTTTCCTTTATCTGCGTCAGAGTTTTGGGGCCTACCCAAGGGGTCTCGATGTTTTGAAGCAGGTTGAGAAGGAGCAGCTTGGCGCACCTGCGGGATATGAAGCTATGAGGCGACTCCATTCTGAGCTCAGTGTGTGTAGCAGGATAGAAGCCAGTTCGCTGAGGGAAGAGATCCTGAAGTTCACTGTGCCCAAGGGTTCTGTGAGGCCCCTCGAGGTCTTTCGCTGTGTGCAGGTTGAGCTGGCCAAGTACCAGCGACTCACGGCAGCGTTTGGGGACTTAGGGTTGACCGAGGCAGACAGGTGCATGGTAATGCTTAGGAATCTGGATACCGAAGTGAAGAAGTATGTCTTGCTTCATGCCAAGATTGATTCTATTGATCAGTTGGAGACCGCACTCAAGTTTTATGATGCGAATTTGAAGATCTTGATGTTCCAGGAGAAGCCTGGCGGGAAGGGGGATCATGCAAATCAGCTTCAGTTTGAGAAGGAGAAAGGAAAAGGAAAGGACAAAGGAAAGGACAAAGGAAAAGGAAAGGACAAAGGAAAGGAAGGAAAGAAAGGAAAAGGAAAGGACCAGAAAGAAGGCAAGGACAAAAAGAGCAATGGGAAGGAAACCCCGAAGGGTGGCAAAGGAAAGGACCAAGGAGCGGCGGTGACACCGCCCCCAGGGAACGGCACGCAGAAGAAGTGTTATGTGTGCCAAGAGGTCGGCCACTTTGCAAGGGATTGTCCTTTGGTTGCTCAGGCTCAGGGTGCTGCAGGGAAGCAGGGTAAGGGAAACCAAGGGAAGGATCAGAACAACAGGGCAGCCACGGTTTTGATGGAGCCGGAGTTGTGTGCCGCTGTGCATCACGTGATTCATGATAGGGAGGAAGACAGTTTCTCCGAGACGTCGCTTGATTTTTCCGATTGCGATTGGGAGAATTTTCAGAACAGTGTTTTGGAGGAGCCTGTGGTGGAAGGCCAGGGTTCCGGCGACCAGGGTTCGCGTGATGAGGGTCCAGGGTTTCTGCGTGCCAGCGAGGGTCCTGTACAGCATGTAGCAGCAGTAGCAAGCAGCACCGAGAACACCCAACACAACAACAGCATGCTTCCTCATGTGCATCATGTTTCTGCAGTGGCCCGCGCCGCCGCCCATGGAGAGGAGGTGGACCATGTCTTGCTCGACTCAGGAGCCTCTGTGCATCTGATCGCTGAGAGCATGTTTTCCAGTGGGTCTGCAGAGTTTTTGGAAGCATTGGGTGATAGCGGTGTTGGCTGTGTCACGGCAACCGGGGAGGACATTCAGATTAGAAGGCGTGCTAGGGTTAGGGTTAGGTTGGTCTTGGCCTCTAGCAACGGATCTCCTCCTACAGGTTCAGTGCCGGTGACTTTTGAAGCTTTAATCGCACCTGTGCGGTATAGCCTTCTGTCTCTGGGCCTCCTTTTGAAGAAAGGTTGGGATGTAGATTTCAGCAAGGTTCGGGTTTTGGGTCCCAGTTCACGAGGAAAGCCCGGATGCAAGCTGTATGTAGAAAGTTTTCAGAACTGTTTCTGGTTGTCTGCGAGCCGTTTTGTGCCCGAGAGCACCCGCCTGCGTTTTCAGCTCCTGTCTGCTGCGGTGCAAGATGAGCAGCAGCTCGGAAGAAGAGGTTCCAGCGTGGCGCCGCCCAGAGATGCTGGGAGAGGGCCAGGACCGCGAGGGTCAGGGATCTCCGTCGAGCAAGGGTCAGGGGTTGCATCAGGGGAGCTCAGAGGGTCGAGTGCCGCGTCCCAGGGTCGAGGGTCTGTTGGAGCCAGGGTTGCCAAGTGTGATGGGGACAGAGGGGGTTCACCTGAAGCCGGGTCCTCAAGCCGTTCATGCGGTACCGCCTCTGCTTGCGCAGCTGGCAACGGATTATGCTTCAACGTCGGGGGAAACTGTTCGGTCTCAGGAGATGGACAGTGCCGAGAAGAAGACCGAGGACCAGGGAGCAGCCAAAGCAGCCAAGGGCAGCGTCGGAAGGGTGAAGCCAAAGGTGAAGAGGATGCCAAAGTATCCGGCGACCAAGGCCATGCCAAA